GACCCCAGGCCAACCATAGCCGCCGGGCACTTCCGCTCCTACAGCGCACTTCCGGAGAACGGGAGGGGGCGTGGTGCGGCGACGGGGTCACGCGAGGGACATTCGGCGCCCGTACTCCGCCTGCGGTGAGGGACGAGGTGACTTGGCCGTGCTGGCCACTAGAACCCGGGGACATGCTGAAAGCTCAGGCTCTGAGGAGGGACCCCGGCGGCGCTGGGATGCTCGAGCCCTTAGAGGGTGGGACGAAGAGCCAAGGCCGGTTCTCAGGGGCCACTAAAGGCCGCGTGAGGTGGAGCCCGGCGCCACTTCTCCGAGCAGTCAGGCCGGCCGGGCGCTCCCGGGCCCAGGCTGGTTGCCTCTGTCTTGTCAGGGCTCAGGGTTTCGGAATCTCCCGATGACGCACCTGCCTCCCCTGCTGCACCGTAGGCCCGGGAGTGCCTTGACGGGTCCCCAAGCTGGGACCAGCGGGCTCTCCTTAAATGATTGTCCAGTGGAGAAGTGGTGAACCCGATGTCGGGGAGAGGTGATGATAGCGAAAGTGACGGGCCAGAGGGGAGTCCTTAAGAAGTGCCACAGTCACGTGTGCGTTTCAAAAGAAGGGTCATGACTGAGTAGGGAAGGGACCCGTGTGGACTCCCAGACCGTGGACTAAGTGGAGGAGGGACCTTGAACTCTGAGTCCGGAAAGCAGGGGGCAGCTTTCAAATGAACAGCACAGTCCCATCTCTCTGACTTTGCTCCAGCGGTTCCCTTCACCCGGATACAACGTTGTCTCCATTGCTCCAGTTGTGGAGATCCTGATCTAGCACCTCCTCAGAGAAGCCCTCCTGGCTTCTCCAATTGCAGCTTATTGCTCCCTCCTCTGCACCCCCAACACCCTCTTCGGACCTGTGACTACNCAATTGCAGCTTATTGCTCCCTCCTCTGCACCCCCAACACCCTCTTCGGACCTGTGACTACAAGGACAGTGAATGCAGTGACTCCAGTTTGAGAAGAGAATCCTTGGTATGGCAGAGGGACTGCAAAAGCCGCGCAGCCCCTTCCTCGGAGGCCAAAGGGGACCCGAGCAGAAGAGAAGAGGCCACGCCGCCCTTGCTAGCCATTGGCTCCCCACGTGACCTGTGCCCGCTCGTCCCGCTCTCCTGCCAACCCACCTTGCCCTGGCCCATCCCCTGCGTCCTTTCTGCTCCCCGCCCAGTGCAAACTTCATACCGGTGAGACATCCGTCCGCGGCAGGACCGGCCCAGGCAGCCTCCGAGAAAAGCAGCGCGCCCGCCCGCCTGCCCGCAGCGCAAAGGAAGACCTGCGAGCAGACCATGCCCCGCGAGCAGACCATGCGGCTGGACCGACTTCGCGCGCGGCTGAGCGCCCTGGCCTGTGGGCTCCTGCTTCTCTTCGTCCGGGGCCAGGGTGAGGCTCTGTCGGGGGCGACAGGAACTGGGGTGGGCTCTGCCACATTCTGCAGAGGCAAACTCGAGACTGTGGGAGGGAAGACGCCAGAGAGGTGGGAACTGTGGAGATGATAGTGCGGGAACCGTGTGCCCCACCCGAGCCTCCCAACCACCCAGGATGTGCCCCAAAACACAAGAGGACCTTTGGGCGGAGTACTAGGGGCTCTGTGTCGGCAGCCTTGTGGGGTGGGGCCGGGGGACGGAGATTCGGGACACTTTCCTCCTGTGTTTGTGTCTTGAGCTGGAGCTGCCAGAGGGTAATAACAACCGTAATACCTTCCTGTTGTCATTTGGCTCTGACTATGTGGTGCCCCTGGCTAGAGGGGTCCCCTGACCCCCTCCAAAGGGATCCCAGGGAAGGTTACTAACGCCAGGAGAATACAGAAGCCCCTGGAACCACATGCTAATGCTAATCTGAGAAGCAGCCAGATCTGNGGAGAATACAGAAGCCCCTGGAACCACATGCTAATGCTAATCTGAGAAGCAGCCAGATCTGAGAGATAGCCAATTAACCTCTTGACCATGCATCAGCTTGGCGTCCAGGGCAAAGGTGATGGTACTTTGTGCCTGCTAGGCTTTCTCCTGGCCGTTATGAGTCTCAGGCTTTGTGGTAGTGTGCCTGGGGCATGTGTGAGGTCCATGATCCTCTCACCTACAAGTGCCTTGGTGTACAACCTGACTATCTCCCTCACCATTTCCCAGCCTAATCTACCCAAGAGGAGTCCACACTCACCCCTCCCCTGTGGCCCACCATCAAGGAAATTCCTCCCTTACCTGTCCTGTACCAGGCTTTCAGAAATCACCAGGACTTGTACAGCAGGAAGGTCTGCCCAGCCTCA